CAGCCGGACCCACCCCCTATTAGGGGTCAGCGAGGGAGGGGCCAGCTGGGGGGAGGGGCGGCGGGAGGTTGGCCGCTGGCCCCACCCCCTGATCGGGCTGAGTTTGCTGGCCGCAGTGGGCGTCATAGCGACCAGTCATTTCGGTCATTACGGCGTTATGGGTGCTGGCTTTTTATATATATAGATTATGGTATGTTACTGAGAAACATCTATGTGATACAGATGAAAGAACACAGAACAAAAGTCATGGTCAAATGTCACTTTGTGTGACCCTTAACCAATTTCTCCACTCAGTTTCCTCTTCTTCAAATGTAGAAATAATACAAGTTTTGCATATATTTCATATTATTTCAGAATAAAGTGAGAATGAATATGTATTCATTTTGAAATTTGTGAAGTGCTGTTCAGATATAATTAAATATTATACATACACAAATAAAAACAAGCAATATTGTAACCTTACCATACACATAGCTTATTAAACCATGGAACTTCAGGATGCTGATATCAAAGTTATTTATCACTTCATCCAGTACTTGATACCATATTGAAGATACAAAAACAAAAATGGAATATCCTTTCTGTTTGAAATATTGATATAGATGTTAAATTCATGTCATTGTAATTGTTTGAAGAGATCATTTAACAGGTATTTCATAGTTCATTCAAGAATGCATGGAGACATTGAGATCGCATGGTCCTTTATCATTTTTAGAGACAGATCCCTTTGAAAATCTAATGAAAACTAAGGATCTTCTCCCAGAAAAATGTTTGTATCTTATATAAACAGAATTTTGCAAGGAATTTCAAAGGTGTTCATATGATTGACATTTAGTAAGACTTTGGTGATAAGGCTTCCTTTCTGATTTCTGGGTTTTCTAGACTATTATGGCCTCCACCTATTCCTTGCTTTAGCTACATTCCATCTAAAGTCTGTCTCTTTAACAATCTTAATGCTTGTGTTCAGACTACCCTCACTATTGCCATTCTCTACACTTTTCATCAGTGCTTATCCCCAGTGCAGGCAGTAAGGGGGAGGGGGGGTGCGGGGGAAGGAGGCATGAACCAGGCTAACAAATGTAAGAAACAGACGAAGGCTTTAGACAGAAGTGGCGGTTGTAGGTAGTTCCAGTATTAGCAGATGAGGTTGCAGCGAGGCTGAAACAGAGGCCAATAGTCTGAGAAACTAAACTGTTAAAATTTTCACTGAAACAGTCAAATATTTGAAATTATTTGTTACTGTGTTCATTTGTAAGCAGCTGTCCATTGAGATTCTCTGTAATTTAACCATCTCCCACCTTTAATAATGTAATATAAACTGATTTTTAAGATGTAAAATACTGTAACAGTGTATGGGGTTGTCATGCTGGATTATAATATGGTTTGATGTGATGTAAAGAAAAGTTGCACAACATCACATCTGTTGTATGCAATGCCAGCCCTATGGACAAACAGGCCAAAGTTCTTTTTCTCTATTAGTCCATGTAACAACTAAATATTTTTCCAGGTTTGTAGAATTTTAATCCCCAGATTTTCTACTTTTGCTTCTAAATCCTCAGCTTATTTAACACTTTTTTTTATCATTTCATCAACAGTACTCAATATTTAGTATCTTCAGACAATAAATAAATTGGCATCTATTAACAACAAAATCCAAGGTCAATATTTTAAAATGCAAACATATTCTTAGAATACCAGAGAGCATGTTCTTATTTTGTAACTTCAGCAACAGTCACCCGAGATCCTCAAAAGTGTTACTGTTTAGAGTAAGGGCATGTAAGTTCTTTGTAAGCCAGATGGAGTCACTATTGTGGAAGTTTGCTTTTTATTATCTGATGTTGGTTTAAATTTTTATATGCTAGTGCCAACATGATCCAATGAGAGTCTATTTTTAAAATAAAATCTAGAAGAAGGTAGCAAACTACTTAATAATGAATGTGAAGAATTGAATTAGCGTGTTATTTTATGTTCTTAAAAAAATTATTGGTATTGCAAGGTGAATTTTTGTAGTAATATTACATGTTGATAACCGACACTGATTTTAAGATTTCCGCATTATATAAGCAGAAAACACCGGGAACAGAGATTTAAGGTGCAGAGATGCTGCTGAGGCAGCATTAACGTGAATTAGATTCCTGTTAGGTAGTGCTCAGTGGAAGGGGATGTGCATATGCAGGGTTTAAAGAAACTTAAAAGCGTGAGAGACATTTTTAATTTAGAATGCCAACAGGAATCGTTTGATATCCGAAGTATAGCTTGCAATGTTTTTTCCTACAAGATTTCATCACCATTCAGAATGCTTTCTTGTTTAAATGTGATACTATATTTTTATATACAATTCATAAAATAAACAGTAGATGATAGAGAAATCACTTTTTTTAGAGGGAGAAAGAAACATATGATATAAGGAAATAGAACATGCTATGAAATTCAAAGCTTCTACTTATTGTATTTTAACTAATTTTTATTAATCTTGCTTACATTTGTTTTGTTAAATTAGGGTCACTAGTGTTAGTAGATTAAAACTTTTTATGATTCTTTTAATCTGGAACTATTATTTTTCAGTTTCTTTATCTTATAGACCACTGATGAATTCTTCAATTTCTTCAAGCGGCTCTTTTTCAAATTTTGTAACCATTTAATTTTCTAGTAATAACGTTCTGCAGAAAGAAGTTAAAGTGAATAGTTTCTCAACATAAATAAGTATATTAGAAAGCAGATTTATATTGCTAGGCTTTGAAGAGGAAGATCTTTGTGGACATTTAAAACACCAAGGAATTATAAAGCCATGGTGAAGAGCAGGCTAGTAAAGCAAGATATCTTTCTTTGCTGATGTGCCATCAACTGAAAATTAATATGAATTAGTCCTGTAGCTAACAGTGAGCTACAGGTACTAACTTCCCTAAAACACTGAAATAGGAAGTGGTAGAAGAAACTGGTAAAAGAAACCCCAAGGACATCCTCTTTTTCCCCCCTATGATCCCTTTAATCCTTGAATTGTCAAACCACATGGAAAATAACAGAGCTGCATAGTTCTAAGACTTAAGTGAAATTATCTTTTTAAAATAAAATGTTAGGTCTTTTCATATCTCCGGACAAGAATAAGGCATGTATTCCATTCAGAAAGAGTAACTTGGAACAAGAGATGAATATTGCTTTTGTATGTTTAATACAATATTATTATCTATGACTAAGCAGGCTGCACCCAGTAGAAAAAACTTATAGCCAATATTTTATTTTCTGTTTTTGAAACAGATGATTCAACGAGAAGCAGATGTGAAAAGCAAGGTAACTGCTGTGGCACTGACAGACTCTGTTCACAATGTGTGGCATCAAGAAGCTGGCAAAACCATTCGAGAGTGGATGAGAGAGGTGAGACTGGGTTTTTCCAATGTCGAGATGAATGAGCGTGAGCCTTTATATCCTGATCCCCCACCAACATGTATCACCTTCCACCCTCAAATGCCCTTTCTAGAGGCAGAACATTGAGAGGGAATAGAAAAAAAACTAGACATATTTGAAATAAGAGAAAACCCTTCTGAAGAACAAATACTTTGAAAGTCCTCTTCCCTTTTTTGGTTTGCTATAGAATATTACATATGCATACAATATACTGTAGGAGCTTTGGCTGAAGAAGGTCATGATCTGTTAAGAGGTTATTAGCCCCTGATATTTAATTTTCCCACTGGTGCACTTAATTACAAGAAAGAAACTTGGCTGTACTCTGGTCTCCTCCTTCCCTGAATTCTTAAGTGGATTGGCTCACCACTGCCAGTAGGGGGAGAAGAAATAAAAAGCAGAAATAGTGTTTTGCCAGACTCTTAATCTAGAAGAAACCCTAGAGCTGGTCAGGATCCAGCCTCCAGTTAAGAAAGCTTCTTGTCGCCCTAATCGGTCTGGCTCAGTGGATAGAGCGTCGGCCTGCGGACTGAGGGGTCCCGGGTTCGGTTCTGGTCAAGGGCATGTACCTTGGTTGCGGGCACATCCCCAGTAGGGGACGTGCAGGGGGCAGCTGATCGATGTTTCTCTCTCATGGATGTTTCTAACTCTCTATCCCTCTCCCTTCCTCTCTGTAAAAAATCAATAAAATATATATTTAAAAAAAAAAAAAAAGAAAGCTTCTTGTCATTTTTTTTAAGGGCTAGTGAACTTGAAAACTAACAGGGACTCATTGACTATGCTCCCACTTAAAACAAAACAAAACTTTCAGCCCATTATTTCCTTTATTTCTATCTATATATATAAAAGCCTAAGCATCCATTACGATGGAACAACTGGAACAACCGGTTGCTATGATGTGCACTGACCACCAGGGGGCAGACACTCAGTGCAGGAGCTGCCCCCAGCCTGCAGGCCCTGATTGCCGATGGAGCCTGCCAGCCAACCTCCTGGTCCCTATCCCTGGCCTGCAGGCCCCGATGGCCCAATCGGGGCCGAGCCCCCTGGCTGGGATGGGAAATTGGAGAGGAGGGGGTGGCGGCGAACATGGCCCCGTTCCCCTGGGGGCCGAGGGCCAGCTCCCTCCTTGGGACCAGCAGCCAACTTCCCAGGATTCTCCCTGCAGCTGGCAGGACCTGATTGGCCCACCGCCTGCCCTCTGTGGTGGTGGGTCCCCCCCACAACCCCCCGTAAGCCGGCAGGCCCCAATTGCCTGATTGGGGCCAGGTCCCAGGCTGGGAGGGGGAACTAGGGGTGGGTAGCGGCAAATGAGGGCAGTGAGGAAAGGAGGAGGGTGAAGGCAGGGAGGCCGGGAACCATACAGTGGCAGCATGCAGGCAGGGAGGGAAGGAGGAGGTGGTAAGGCGGGAAACCCGATCGTCCCTGATCGTCGGCCAGGCCTAGGGACCCCACTGGTGCACGAATTTCATGCACCAGACCTCTAGTTATAGATAAACAGCTGAAGTTTTTATTTATATTTACCTTTTTGATATTATAAGCAATTGACATCAGCCACATCATGCTATAGCAGTTGTTTAGTCAGATCACATGCTTATATGAATAAGCTGGTTGACCTAGATTTTTTCTCAGTTTTTGTTGATGGAACACCCAGACATTTATTCAGCTGACCGCTCACCATAGCTGTGGTGGGTAACATCTACCAGCCCTCATGGTGCATGGTAAGGACTGAGTTGACATTGGAAGAGTTTCAAAAACTAGGACTAGGCTATATAATCCCATAGTGGTGTTATCATAATACCACCTATCTGTTTACACTGTTGTTGTCATTCCCCAATAGAAAAAGTACCTTTATCATAAAAAGTCTAAAATAGTTTTACTCCATTCCTCATAATGCTATAAACATATAAAGGTGGATTTATTTTCATCTATTCTAACTCCCAGGTGTTTTCTGACCACATTAGTTTTCATATTTTTTCTTTTACATGTATCTGAATCCTTAATTGTCTCTTCCAAGGGCTTAAACTTTTTCTAGAGACATTTTATGTATTTCATGCTGATACTTTTTTTTTGTGCTATTTATCTGTCCAAATGGATACATGAACAGCTTCCAGCCCATGTGGAATTTAGGACCTGTCCCAAACTAGAAATATCCTGTTCATTATTTTTTCAACGGGGCATTCTTTGTGTCTCATTCTAGATGACAAATATAACACTATTTATTTAGGTTTACTTTTTTAGGTATTTCTAACTAAAACTAGATAAGGTGTCCCCTTCCAAAATCAGAATATATTCTTTGGATTTCATCTGACTGAAATAGGCAGTAATTTAAAGCATCTTAATGTAATCAAAACTGCCAGTTATTTCTTTGCTAATAGCCTTTGTTAAAAACATTCTAATGTTATAAAATTTTACAAATGACCTATCTCTTGAATAGTTCCTTCAACTCCCTTGATTATGCCTTAGGCATGAAGCAGCATGAAGAGTTTTGCATTATGACATACCAAAATTCAAACCCCAGCTCAATTCAAACCTACCTAACTGTAGTCTTGGGCAAGTTGCTTAATATCTTGTATATTCTCTCTAAAATATAAAACCTACCTTGTAAACATTGTTGGCACTGTAAAGAAGATTAATAAATCACAGCTATTGTTGTTATAGTAACCTTCACATCCCCAAATAATGTGAAATACATGAACTGTATTTTCTTTTTGTTTTATGAATGATTTTTATATTCAAAATATCTTACAAAAGAGATGGGTAGGGAGTTAGGAGAACTGAATTTTGATTGTGTTTCTGGCTTAGTTACTCATTAGGTAAATAAATAATTAGAGATCAAGCATGTACCAGATACTTTGCTTAGACTTATAGTCTTGGGAAAGCCACTTTTTTGTTCTTCTGGGCCTAGTTCGTAATTGTGAATTAGAGGTAATTTCTATTTTATCTACTTCCTGAACTATTTTGAGAATCAAACATGATGAGCAAGAAAAAAACTCCTTGAAAAGCAAATAGTACTATTTAAATAAATGAAATGTATTATTATAGAAAACACTATAATATCCCAAAGATAAAAATTATTAGAGCAGAGTTGATGGAGCTTTGAAATTATCCCTGCTCAGAGTTCATCCCTAAAGCAAGAACAAAATCAGAAACTATAGAAGACTATGCCAGGTGTCCTTGTAAGAACTCACTAAATGTTTGACCCCCGCCTTGTAGATAATTTATGTGGTTTGGCAAGATAAGAGTCCAGTGTTTTCCAACACTTAGGATGAAACTCCATCCTCTCTTCTTTCACCTTTATTAGTCCTTGTCTATTCTGCGAGATTCCTTGAAATAATGAAGACAAACAAGCCTGGGGTCAGTAGACAGAAAGGATGGTTGTCTTGAGCACGGGGATTGGGAGAAGGTGTGGTAGGGGAGCCTTTGTGTCCCTTGGCGTCCACCTCCTCCTCGCCTCCTGCTCTAGCCTCATTTAGAATCATCTCAGAAACTGAGATATTTTGCAAATATCCCTCCCAAGAAAAACACCTTAGCCAAACTGGAATGTCTTCTCTAAAAATAGCAGTCGCGTTATAGATGAAGCCACAGTGCTTTCGGCCTCATGACTGGCTCCATTATTTCACCCAACACCGCTTTAAAATGTGAAAGTAGGACAGTGGTACAAGCTGCCCACTCATTCCTGTTAGATTGCAAATTAGTAAAACTGTCTTTTGTTTTGTAAGCCAGTTTAAATTAATATTTTAAAGTTATTGATGTTAAGTACTTGTTTTCTATAAAAAGCTGATTTTTCAGTCCTGTTCCTTAGCATACATAAAGAATGTTAAGTACTATATTTTTGTATTACTTGTATAATTGTAAAATAACAATTTCCTTTAAAGAAAGAAGGTCAGAGAGGGTTACTTTTGGCAATTACTACAAGTGAAACCTACTCCCAACCAAAAGACCCAGTGCACATACTAACCAGCCTCATGAGGAGAGGTCAAAGGTGGCCAAAGGCAGCTCCTGAGAGACACTTCTCACCTCAGGCTCCAGGATGTAAAGGCTGCATGGGCAAGGATGATCCTGGAGACCGTTATGCCAAGTGCAATAGCCAGACATAGGAAGGAAAATTCTCCATAATCTGACATATATGTGGAATCTAAAAAAGTAAACACACAGAAGAGAGTAGGCGGTGACTACCAGTGGCAGGGAGATGAAGGAAATGGGGAGATGTTGGCAAAGAGTACAAAGTTGCAGTTATGCAGGTTACCTAAGTTTAGAGACCTGATGGTCAGCATGATGACTGTACTTAACAATATTGGATTGAACACTAGAAATTTGCTAAGAGAATAGACTTCAGTTTTTCTCAACACACACACACACACACACACACACACACAAATCTATGTGAGATTTGTTATTTAGCTTGACTATAATAAGAAAACATTTCACTATATACATGTATATCACATCATGTTATATACCTTAAATGTATAATTTTTATTTTAAAAAATAAAAATAGAAAAGGCTGAGTGGGCAAATTTCATTTGCTGCCTTACCCCTAGCTTCTGAAAGTCTCCAGCCAACCCAATGTATGGTTCTCCGTAGCGGTCAGGAACCCTTACCTATCGCCATGCAGCTCTGTGTGTCGGTGCTGGACACTCAGACTGGTGAATTGTTCTTGTTGTATGAGGAGACAATACCTGCCACATTAAAGATCGGTGCCTAAGGCATGGATGATTTACTACTCAGACAAATGAAATAAAAGTGAATCAAATCCTAAACTCCAAATACTTCCAAATACCTTGCATAGGAATACCTACTATCTATTTTCTCTTTAAACATAATATACTTTTATTTAAAAAAATTAATTCATTTCATATCTACACTAAAATATTGCAAACCCTTGGTTCAAATGTCAAAGAGAGTCACTTAGTACTGTGGCCAAAGGCACTTCTAATCATTAGTAATAGTTCCCAAGCTTTTGGATTTCACAAAGAAGACAATTTACAACCCCCAAATCCCATAAGGTCATCATTTCAGAGTAAAAGACCTTTAAATTGAAAACACTTAACTTTAAGAAACACTCACTTATAGTGACTATTTTTCTCTTTTTCCCTCAGACCCAGAGAAACTCTAGTTACATGATCCATCCTCATATGCTGGCTCTGGTCCAGGGCTTCTTTCTTCATGCTTGTTGGTTGGGATGAGGCTCAGGCATGGCTCTGTTGGTACCTCTAGTCCAGTATGCCCTGTGTTGTCTGCTTGGGCACCTGAGAATAGATCTCCAGGGACTGGGCATTCACTCCAGCATGTTTTGAGTTTAGATAGGGCATCCATTTTCTTTTTTTTAATCCTCACCCAAATATGTTGAAAGAGAGAGGATAGGTGGAGAAAGTGAGAAAGAGAAACATCAATATGAGAGAGAAACATCAATCAGTTGCCTCCCATACATGCCCTGACCAGAGATTGGACCCCCCACCAAGGTGCGTGCCCTGATTGGGAATCGAACCCGCAATCTTTTGGCGTACAGGACGACACTCCAACCAACTGAATCACCTCGCTAGGGCTAAATAGTGCTTTCCCACTGAGCTGCCTCTGTCGCCAGCACTTTGCTAGCGTTCATCTCAACTGAAGAACTGGGGTGAGTCGGGGGCAAACTGGGGCATTGAGAAGACGGATAGAATAAGCATTAGAACAGTGATAGAGATTTGATTTCTAAACTATAGAAACACATCTCAGAATAGGGAATTATATTTGACTAGAAGCCTGGTGCATGAAAATTTATGCACTGGAGGGGGCGTCCCTCAGGCCGGCCTGCCCCCTCTCACAGTCTGGGAGCCCTCAGGGGCAGGAGGCGACCAGGCGATCAGGGAAAGACAACGCCCCCATCACACCTCTGCTGCTGCCACTGCCAGCAGTGCAAGCCTCAGCCGGCCCTGGTTACCTGAGCCTCGGGCGGCCCTGGGTGGCTGGGCAGCCGCCATCCGAGGCTTAACTGCACCTCAGGCGGCTGGGGAGCTGAGGGAACTGGGGGACTCGGGCCTTGCCACACGCTTACCGCCCCGGCGGGGCTCAGGGGACTGGGCACCGCCATCTTGTGGCTGTGGGTGCCGCCATCTTTGAGGGCATGGCAGCCAATTAGCATATTCCCTCCTTATTGGCTGTGGGTGCTGCTACCTTTGAGGGTGGGTAGTCAATTAGCATATTCCCTCCTTATTGTATGTGGGCACCACCATCTTTGTGTGAGGGTCAATTAGCATATTCCCTCTTTATAAGATAGGATAAGATAGAATTTCAGATAGTTTGACTTAATATATTATGGCTGTATGTCTTTCTCATACTTCTTTCTTTACATATATTTCCCAGTGTGCTTACATTATTTTATTTCATTATACTCTATGACATGGAAAACCTATTTTTAGCTTGTTTTGCCCAGTTTTCTATATATTTTTTCCAGGGCGGGTTGGGGGAGGATAAAGATTTCACAAGTGCACACATGCACATGTATACACTGATAAAATTTATGGTATCAAACCTTTACCATTCTATACAGGTACTTTGTCATTCCTGAGAAGTTTTGTACATACTTTTAATTATAACATGTTTATTTTTTTACCCTATTTTTATGAGAGAGCAAAGCCCAAACATGTACTTTGGCTGGTGTGGCTCACTGGTTGAGCATTGTCCTTTGCACCAAGAGGGCACATGTCCAGGTTGCGGGTTTGATTCCCAATCGGGGGCGTACAGGAGGCAGCCAATCAATATTTCTCCCTCTCATCAATGTGTCTCTCTCTCCTTCTCCCTTCTCTCTAAAATCAATAAAAACATAATTTCAAAAAAAATTTAAAGCCCAAACATATGCCTAGATAAAAACAAATTTCAGAATCATAAAATGTTAACTACATTTTGCTTTAAATGTTTAAGTTAAAAGTGACCTGGATAAAATCCATTTTGTTCAGCTTTTTAAATTCAGTGGTAACGAGTTAAAAAATGATTAATCGCCTGCACATTGTAATGTACCATCACTTTTATTAATACTAGAAATATCCTATAAGACATAGTTTTACATATGTGAAGTGTATGTGGGCAGTATTAAGAGTGACATATCACCTGGGTAATAGCTGACTTTCATCAGATTTGGAGGTACTACTAGGATGAATAATAATTAAAATATATGCCTAATCGCTGCCTGTCTTTCGGTAGTGCTAATTGCTGTCATTGAAAAGACTGAATTGTTTAAGAAAGAGAGAGAGAAAGAGAAAGTCATTCTTCATTGAAGCTATCTCCCTGTATCATTGGGAGCCTATTTTTAGTACCTATAGAAGTCATGATTTTTGAATTTATTAGGGGCTGTGATGAATGATAAAACAAATCATCCATTTACATATCTTGACACTGCTTTGGAGAATACTTATTTCTTACAAGCAAGTGTCACATTGTATATAAAAGCTGGCTAATTGTCTGCTAATCTTCTGCATTATCCAGAACTCTCTGATGTGGTATTCTATCAATAGTAATATTAATTTGACTTATTTCAAATGTATGAAATATCTTCTAAAACCCCATTTCTTTTATAATTTCTGTTCTTTTATATTGTATAATTTTGCATTCAGCTGCTAATTAAGATTAGGAGTACAAGTTAAGAATACATATCCACTTTAAACCCTCAAGCTTTTATAATACAAGAAAACACTAATATTTTATCCATTTTAAATATAAAAAAGAGAGAAAGCATTTAAGAACATTACTAGATGTTGTGTTTGTTTTCATGGATTTTTTTCCACACAGTTCAATAGTTTCATTGATCTACTGTTTCTTACAAAAATCTGCCATGCTTTGTGAACTTCACTTTCTAATCTCATACAGCAACCCTTCCTTTATGTTATTCCTGCTCTCCCTGGTCCCAGAACAGTAGGGTTGCCTTGACAAATCTATTCAAAAGCCATTCCTCAGCCTTTATTGGTGGGGACTGGGGCCTTTGAAATTCTCTCCTCACTGCAACACAGCTGACATCTTCTTCCAGACAGAATGAATTAAGGAAACACAATAAGACACTTGATCTACCAGTCAAGGATCTTTCCACAGTGAGGACGGATTCCATGGTGCACAACCAGGGCAGCAAGCATCTAAAAATACACAATACGTGGTTGTTTACCAGAATGGCAATCAGCGATTTTTCCAACATGATTGATGGGATGATTTCTTTTAAAATAAAATCTGTTTGGAAATTCAGTGTGTGTGTGTGTGTGTGTGTGTGTGTGTGTGTGTGTGTGTGTGTGTTGGAAATTTTTTAAGAGACATATATGAGGTTAATCACATTTTTTGAGCCAGACTTAAAATCAGATTTAAAATGTATGGAAGGAATATAAATTATTTTTATTTCATTTGTCTGAATTGTAAGTTATTATTATCTTTACTATTGAAAGCTTTGTGTCCTCAGACACACCGCTACAATTCACCAGATTGTGTTTCTTTTGAACTCTTTAATACATCATTCATTGATCCAGGTTGAAGTAAAAATTAAGAGATGGTATCATTATAAGGGCCAGATTTTGAGGAGTAAGTATAAAATCTATTTCTTCTAGTATTACAAAGACAAAGAATATAGTTTTAAAATGTAGCTACTTTTTCACGTGTTCAAAATAATATTAATTTCTATCTAAAAGTTAATAATGGACACCCTTTTTAGTTTCTTTTAATTATAATCCTAGCCTTCTCTTGGAAATATATTACATCACTAGAGGGCCGGTGCATGAAATTCGTGCACGAGTACGGTCCTTAGGCCTGCCCAGCAATCGAAGTACAAGCATCTGGTGTGGAAGGGCAGGTCCCAGCTGATCTCTGGGCCCTGGGCAGCACCTGGTCCCCCGGGCCCCCGAGCATCCCCCTCTGTCTGAGTCACAGTGCCCAAGTCTCCACATGGAGATGCTGTGAGTGCGACCGGACATTGCAGGCTGGAGCGCAGCATGGGCCTCTTGGCCACCCAGTGGCGCTGCATGGAAGCCAGACAGGCAGCACGCTATCTCCCAGCTGGTCTCGCAGACTGGCTCTTCGCGAAACCACAGGGAGCCCAACCAGCCCCTGTGGTCCCGGTGGCTGCAGCCTGGCTCACCCAGATGACACTGTGCAGGTGCGGCGTGGGCTCCTCACGGGTGCCCGGCACCTGAGTACGGGGGCTTCCCCGGTGTGCGAGCCCTGGCGTCCTGGGGGAGGGTAGCAGTGGGAGTGAGAGCAAGCTCAGCGGACACCCCGCATTCTCACCACACCTCTGTCCCCGTCACCCCCTCCCCCAGGTAGCCGGCGAGAGGTCACAGTGTGTCACCAACACCCACTATGTTCCATGCCGCCCTCTGGTGGTCAAACTTCCGTTGAGAAGACAATTTGCATAATAGGTTTTTATTATATAGGATGGTTTAATGAAGGTCACCTGTATTCTTAATATCAACACACATGATTTGCTGAACTGTAGAAGATAAACTTTCCACAGTCATGTAGGTCATCAATAATTACTGACTGTTTGCATAAGAAAACCTTTTATAGTGTATGAAAAATAAATTGAATATACTTCTAGTGGATAAATTAATCTCTACAACCTGAAAAGTTGGTCTTGGCTTAAATTATGCTTCAACAGGAAATTGTCTCTATTACATTGCAGAACTGCTGTAATTGGGTCTCTAGCTCAGAACCATTAGACACTTCAGTGGAGTCCATGCTGCCTGACTGCCCCCGAGTCTCTGCAGGTATGTGTTTGATGAGATGTATGGGTTTTGTGTGTTTTTTAAGGTGAAAAAAATATGCTTATGAAATGTGGAATTCTGTTTTGCAAATTAAGCATGTTGTTCTGCTTTGAATCTTCAAACGAGTTATTGATAATATACGGCATGGGTCTGATCCACTACCAGAAATTTGTTAAGTAGCTAAAAATGTGTACCATCAAACTCCGTAAAGATGAATAGGTGAAACAATCTGAGAGTACTGAAGACAGTTGCTGTTGAAGCTTAGGGAAACAAGATGTCCATAAATTAAAAGTTGATTATAAGACAAGGACTGGGTAGCCATACAGGATCTCAGAATATTTGTCTCTGATTGAGTACCAATTCAGTGATACAATAGGCAGTCAAGTCTCTGAATTTGGAAAAAGAGACTGCTGTGGCATATAGTCTTTAGGAAAGGTTTTCATGCAGAAGATTTTGGCTGGACTTTGTGTGTTAGGATTTGGATTGTCAGAAGATATACAGGATGGCATTTTAGTCAAAAGAAACAGAGCAATGTAAGGAATAAGTGCTAGAATGGATATGAAGATGTTCTCAGGAAACGAAGGCAGAACTGGCTGCTACTGAAAGGAAGGAAGTGGAGGGTGAGCCCCTTAGGTGGGCTCCAGACAGTGGATGGATGGCTGACACTGGTTCCCAGCCTACAGACTTTGTACTTTTGTCTCTAATCTCTAGATTGCTTCTGGTTTTGGCTTTCACCATTCTCAACCATTGTTGATAGTAAACACAAATTGAGCGATGATATCTGGTTATGGCTACAGAACCAGATATGGCTTGGTTTGACCATAGACGCCAAAAAATAAGCAGAAGTTTTGAACATGAACTACTCTAAGCAGCATTCAGAGGAGAGAGTGAATCACTACATATTAAGAGTTGCAGACATGTTTATGCATTTGAAGGAAATAATTTGGACAGCATTTTAAGTACTAGGTAAAGAACTGTTATAAATAAATTTCACTATCATTATAGCCTAAAATCATGGGAATGGGAAGGAACAGTTTTGCTAGTAGGTCACTAAGGGTAATAAGAAGAGAGGTCAGTCCCATTTCCACCCCTTCATTCCCAGATCTGGGAGAAATAGGACAGTCTATTAAATGCTAATTTAGAGCAAATATCACTTCCTAGAGGACATTGTCTCATCCTAGAAGACACTATAACTGAGTCTTCAAAAAGTCCTTTCACCATTCTATCAAGCCTGCTGCGTAAGGGTCATGGGGAACATGGTAAGACCAGTGAATGTTGGCAAGCCTAAGGCTCTTTTTTGTCCCCGCACTTGCTTTCTCTGATGGCAGCCAGCTGTCATGTTGTGAGCCGCTCTGTGGAGAGGTCCATGTGGCAAGGAATTGGTGTCTCTGGCCAAGAGCCAGTGAGAACCTGAGGCCTGCCAACAGCCACATGAGTGACCTTGGAAGAGGATCCTGTCCCAGTTGAGCTTTGTGATGCCTGCAACCCCAGCCAAGACCTTGACTGTGGCCTGTGAGAGACCCGGTACCAATTATCCAGCTAAGCCATGCTCAGATTCCTGACCCACAGAAACTGTGGGTGATGTGTCTTGTTTTAAGCTACCAAATTTTGAGGTGATTTGTTCCACAGTAGTAGATAATTATTAATGCAGTAGGTTTAAACTTCAACTCTCGTGGTCTCAAGCTTAAGTAAAAGCAACCTTAACTTTTTTGAGACTAAAGCCTTATAAAGCTCATCTTTGCTCTGATACCTTAGGGTTAAGAGCCACTCTTTCTAAAAAGGCACTAAAAAACTCATTGAAGACAATTCATTCCTCTACTTCAGTGGTTTTCAACCTTGGCTGCACATTAGAATCACCTGGGAATCTTTTTAAAATCCTGATTTCTGGGCCTCAGCCTCTGGAAATTCTGTTTCTTTGTTATGGGGTGGGGCCACAATGGCAGCAGCAGGCAAGCAAGCTACCAAGGACAGGGGTGTAAGAGTGAGCACCTCCTGCCAACCCAGAACCTCTTGGGTGGGGCCACAACATTAGTAACAAAGAAACAGAATTTCTGGAGGATGAGGCCCAGAAATCAGGATTTTAAAAAGATTCCCAGGTGATTCTAATGTGCAGCCAAGGTTGAGAACCACTGCTCTACTTGTTCCCCTACTGCCACATTAGACTTGGCTGTACAGTTTATCAGAGAGAAGATACTAAGTTTCTTATCACACTCATTTGATCTTACATTAAGTCATCTCACTATTCAGCTCTTCTCTGACCCAATTTTTCTTAGGGCAGAACTTACTCTCTGTAACCTTCTATTCCCTGTGGGATGTTATTCCAACACATTTGGCTTAAATGAGGAGGAGATTCCCTATACATTCCCCTGCCTATTTCAAATATTTATTGAGCATTTATTATATTCCAAGTACTGGGGACATAGCAGTCAACAATAGGTTGTCATGACTGTTTTTTCCCCCAAAACAAAACAAAACACATTTTTTAAAGAACTATTTCCTGGCCTTCTGCTAGTGGGTAGGTTCTTTCTTGTGAAGCTGGTATCAACATTAGGTTGCATCAAATGATAAAAGAGTTAGGGCCGGCACCCCAGTATTTTCCACACCAACTTATAAAAACTGAACAGCTTTCAATCAAAATCAGTGATTTCCCTTAAATAATCCTTACAAAAATGTTAACAAGGGATGTAACATAATCAAAAATGGGGTTTTAAAAAAGATTTGAGGGAAGCGAGAAGCCAGAAAACAGTAGACTCAGCAGGCTGTGGTGATAGAGCTGGTATATGAGGTTGATGGCATGTACTGGAGAGGCAGCAGTGGGAACAGCGAGGGTGGGAGAGCCCTAACAAATAGGACTCGACACTCCTTGATGATAAATAGATGGGTTGTGGAGGCTAATAGAAAAGGAAGAGACAATGGTAAGTTCCAGTGAAATGTTACTGGAATAATGAAAATACCATTGCTAGAATAGGGGAAAAGAAAAGGGAATTCAATTAAGGAGAAAAAATGATGAAATTGTTTTATGACCTACTTAATTGAGGTGATAGCAATTATGGTGATGGCAGGAAATTCAAATGGAAATAACCAAAGGTTGTTGAAGTACATTTGAATCACCTGAAATTCTCTGATCAATAATTCTGTTATCTATAATTTAAAATGTTAGTATTATTTGAAGATTTCAATATGTGTACTGAACACTGGTTAGTAATGGGTATTCAAACTATATGTTCAATTTAGCGAAGTCTTTTTTTCCAGCTTTCAACATTATAGAGTTTTTGTTGTTGTAATATGCTTCTTATCTTTTGACTGGAAGTTTCATGGTCATAGCAATAAAATTTCCTATAAAAATACATATTCATTTAATACTGTATTTTTCCATTATTACTAAATATGTAGTAATTACTAAATTTAATCCTATAGGAGTGAGTGAAAACACAAAAACTTGTGTTTTCCTTTACACAAAAATAGATCTATTGATCATAATAGTTTAATTTTATGAATGTTGTTACCTGTGACTATATATTTTAAGAATAGATAAAATACAGTTTTTAAATTATACTTAAAATGTCACTGATAATTATTTCACTATAGTTATATTGTTCTTACTTTTCTTTTGAAAGCAAATGTAATACTTGACAATGCCATGCTTAAGAGTGGGCAATGTTGCACCTTCTACTTAAAATGAAGTCTGACTTTTCAGTTGTCATAACATATAGTGAATGGTGGAATTTTGACGGATCTTGAGTATGTGTCTAGTGCCCCACTTTTTCCTATTAATAGTGTTTCCTACTAGTAATATCAGTCAGCTAAAAACACTGTTACTCAGAGAATTATGTAATAGGTTAATAGGATCTGGTTTAGAGTATAGCCCACACTGATTGTTTGTACATTTGTTATAAAATGGCAACAGCAAATATCTGCTCATTTATAGAAATGTTATGAAGATAATTTTTTAAGTGTCTGGAGGGGTATTTGAGTTCACCAGAAGGAAGGCGCTGTAAAAAGTAATGTGGTGCTATATATTTTCATTAGGCATTTTAGAATTTAAGGCTATAATTTATTTTAAGACTATTATTGATCATTTGAATCCTATAGGAGTGAAAAGGCATTTCTAAAAATACTCTCCTTTCCATTTCCTTATCTAATTTTATTTTTAAACAATAAGTAACTTAGTTATTTGTGTTTTCCTATGTTTTCTGTGACATTGGTATGGTCACAAAATAGTATACAGAAACCAGAGTCACAGAAAGGTAGAAAATACAGTGACAAAATCAAAAGGCAAACTACCAGTGGAACGAAAAATGCTCAGTAGGTCAAATAAATCGGGGCACAGTAAAGCTTAAAGCAACATTTGGGTAGCAGTAAAGATGAAATTAGAAGTGATCTTGCATGGTGTGCTGCTCCCCAAAGATAGCTAATATAATTTTTGGCCGTGTCTGAGGAGGCATTCTCCCAGGGTGAATGAAAGGAAAGCAAAACCTGAATGTTGGAAACCAGACAAGGTTACAGAGATTGACATCTTCTGACTTCTTACAAGTCTGGACACAGCTTGTTTGGCTGGCGCATGGCTGACAGGCTGCTCTTTGCCAGGCTGGTTCTAAGGCTGCTGCTAAGGCTCCTAGACTTCCCACTCCCTCCAGCTGTGCTCCTTACACGCAGTTCTGGGTATGTGCATTCATTCTGCAAGTATTTGCTATGGCCTGAAGCTGCTCCAGGGACAGACATAGCAGGTAGTTACAGCAGAGAAGGTCCTGCATGGAGCTTATCATCTAGTAGCGGAGACAGTTATTAAACAAGGTAAATAGGAAAGAATATAGTATGTTAGATGGTGGAAGTTGGTAGGAGAAATATAAAGCAGGAAGAAAGAGCCTGAAATATATGTATGTGGAGGAGAGGATTTGAATTTTTAGGGAGGTGGCAGGAAAGACCTCACTGAGAAGATGACATTTCTAGGACATGCCTTCTAGTCCTGACCTCTACCACCTCCCATTGATAAAAACAACAGT